GGTTCCCGCCCCAGGAACCCCCGGGGGCGGGGCGGGCGGGGACCACGGAGCGGCTGAGGATGGATCCGGTGGGTCCAGAGGACGCTCCCGCCCCGAGGCCGCGCGGCTGGAACGCGTGTTTTACTTTCTGCTCTTTTGCCGAAGTTCACCCCGAAGAACCGGCCCGTCCTGCTCAGTGCGTCAGGCTCAGTGCGGCCGCCCTCCCGTCCCCGGGGAGTCTGTGTCACGGAGCGAAGCCACCGGCTTTAGACGCCATGTGACCCATGGGACTTGCTGTTTTTTAAAAATATATATTTTTATTGATGTCAGAGAGGGAGAGGGAGAGAAACGTCCATGATGAGGGCGTCCTGGATCGGCGGCTCCTGCACGCCCCTCGCTGGGGCCGAGCCTGCACCCCGGCCTGTGCCCTGACGGGGAGTCGCACCCTGACCTCCTGGTTCCAGGTCGGCCAGAGAGCCGCGCCGCCGGGCTGCTGTGCCACCCCTGATGACACCTGGTGACCCCTGAGCCCCCGGAGTCAGTCCTGGGACGCAGGAGGGAGAGCGGCAGCCCTGAGGGCGGCGGGCGGGGTGCGGGGCTCAGCTCCCCGGTGAATAAAGGCCCCACAAGCCCTGGGAGCAGCCGGTTCCCAAGGCTCCGGGAGACCCAGGAGGAATAGAGGCTCCAGGACAACGAGTAACAATGTCGGCCGTGGCCCCACCAGTGCCCTGGGCACGGGATCCCTCCCCGGGACACAGAGCCTCAGTGTGGGGCCTCAGTGTTGGGGGTCTCAGTGTGGGGGCCTCAGTGTGGGGGCTCAGTGTGGGGCCTCAGTGTGTGGGGGCCTCAGTGGGGGGGGGCTCAGTGTGGGGCCTCAGTGTGGGGGGGTCTCAGGTTGGGGGGCTCAGTGTGGGGGCCTCAGTGTGGGGGCTCAGTGTGGGGCCTCAGTGTGTGGGGGCCTCAGTGGGGGGGGGCTCAGTGGGGGGGCCTCAGTGTGTGGGGGCCTCAGTGAGGGGGCTCAGTGTGGGGAGGGCCTCAGCTGGGGGTGCAGGGGTGGGAGGTGGCCGGGGAGGTGGTCTTTGCAGCCTGCACCGTCCAGCTGCCTGTCCCCCCTCTGCCGCCGCTCAGGTGCCCTGCTTGTGAGGCGCTGACGAGAGTGGCTCCTCCGACATCCGAGCTCCGTCCACCTGGCGGTCATGGAGGCCGAGCATCTAAACAAGCAGAAAGCCGTCCGTCGTGTTTGTTCAGTACACGAGCCTCTCACATCCTCACGCATTTAAAACACCCGCTTTTTTCTCCTTGATTCCTAAGAATGCATTGTTATAAACATGAACTTCCGAGCTGTTACAGCGCCTGAGCCTGTGCTGTGTTTGGCGGATCTGACCTTGTCTGTGTTCGTCTCTCCACCGTCTGCGTCACACGCCCGCCCGGCAGCTGCTGGTCCGACCGCTGGCGAGGGCCTGTGGGCGGCGCTTTCGGCGGCTCAGATCCGCCTCCTGTCAGGGCGTCTCCCCTCCCCGCGGTCAGGAAGGTGCACACGTTCTATTTCAGCGTCACTTCTGCTTCCCATCCTGACCCCCCTTCACGGCTCATCCCATTGGAATTCATGTCATTTCTGTTATTTTTCATGAGTGAGCCAGTTTTCCCACGTGACTTCCTGTGGGCCCATCCTCCCTCCCTCCCTCCCTCTCTCTCTCCGTCCCTCCCTCCTTCCCTCCTTCCCTTCCTCCCTCCCTCCTTGCCTCCCTCCCCCTCCGTCCCTCCTTCCTTCCTTCTCTCCCTCCCTCCCTCCTTCCCTCCCTCCCTCCCTCCCTCCTTCCTTCCCTCCCTCCCTCCTTCCCTCCCTCCCCCTCCCTCCCTCCCTCCTTCCCTCCCTCCCTCCCTCCCTCCTTCCCTCCCTCCCTCCCTCCCTCCTTCCTTCCCTCCCTCCCTCCCTCCTTCCCTCCCTCCCTCCCTCCCTCCTTCCTTCCCTCCCTCCTCCTTCCCTCCCTCCCTCCCTCCCTCCCTCCCTCCTTCCCTCCCTCCCTTTCTGTTAATACCTGAGGACGTTTTTCCCATTGAGAGAGAGTGAAATGAAGGGAGGAGAGAGAGAGAGAAACATCAACTTGAGAGAGACATCAATGGGTTGCCTCTTGCACGTGCCCCAACCTTGGCCTGGGACCGAACCTGAAACCCAGGTACCTGCCCTCGATGGGGCTTGAACCCAGCCTCCTTCAGGGCGCATCCGATGCTCTGACCACGGAGCCACTGGCCAGGGCGTGGCCATCCTTTCTCACGTGGGCTGTGAGGGGCCCCCTGTGCCCAGGCCTCCGTGTGGTCGCCGTGGCCCTTGTCTGCTTCTGCGGGTTTCGTGTGCCGCGTGTAGTTTTCTGAGCTTCTCCTTGCCTGTTAGAATCACTGCCTCGCGTCAGCGTGTAGACCCGCGGTCTTCCGTGGCCCCCGTGTTTATTTGGGGACGTGTAGTTTTTGGTTGCTGGGTGGCCTCCTTTTCTCGTGGCCGACAGGCGCCCAGGCCGCGCTGTTCCCCGTCACCGGGTAGTGAGGGGGGTGCTGTGGGTTTTCCACGCTGCTGATACCTGCGACTCAGCAGGGGGCGGTCCTCCTCTGCGTCTGCGTCCAGTTGGCTGGGGGGGGGGGGGGGGCAGGTTCTCCAGGGGAGCGGGACCACAGGACCCACAGGGAGAAGGGGAGTCGCTCTGTGGGGTCCGCGCACTGGGTGATGCAGGCGGAACCGTCCGCGAGGCCAGGGGAGCCCCGTCCAGGTCCCGTCTGGGGAGCCCGGGTCCTGGTGCCAACGCAGTGAGGCGGCGAGAAGTCCCCTCCGCCCGTGGTGCCCGGTGGGCCCAGGACGGAGCCACGAGGCCAGCGTGCCCGGGAGGGCAGTCCGCCCGCCGCCCGCCCCCGACGTGGACGGAACCTGTGGGTGACGAGGGCGGGTACCTCTGCTGTGGTAGAGGTTTGACAAGGTAGCAGATCATCACTTTATGCTCTAGACCAGGGGTGGGCACACTTTCTGACTCGAGGGCCACAATGGGTTCTTAAACGGGACTGGAGGCCGGAACAAAAGCATGGATGGAGTGTTTGTGTGAACTAATATACATTCAGAGTAAACATCCTTACATAAAAGGGCACGGGCGGCAGCCAGCAGGTGCGAGCCAGGCGGCTCCGAGCAGGTGGGGGTGGGGCTGACGGTCAGAGCGACGTGCACATGGCCCTGGGCCTGTGAGGTCCAGGATGCAGGTTTCTGGGGAAAGTTCTGGTGCTTCTGTGGCTCCTTCTTCCTGGGACGGGGCTGTGCTGCCCGTCGGCCGGGGAGGGAGGCCCCGCCCCTGTGTGCAGCCCGGCCGGACACCGGCTTCCGACAGCAACCCCAAGAGACGATGGTTTTCCATCTGCATCTTTAAAAATAATTTTAAATACGTTTTTATTTATTATTACTTATTAAAAAAAGTTTGATTGATCTCAGAGAGGAAGGGAGAGGGAGAGAAATAGAAACATTAATGATGAGAGAATCATGGATCGGCTGCCTCCTGAACGCCCCACGCTGGGGATCCAGCCCACAACCTGGGCCTGTGCCCTGACAGGGAATCGAACCCTGACCTCCTGGTTCCTAGGTCGATGCCCAACCACTGACCCACACCGGCCGGGCTTTAACTTAATTGATTTTTAGAAAGAGAGGAAGAGAGAGAGAGGAACGTCATTCCTGCCCCCTGCGTGCGAGCCCACACCCTGGGAATCGAGTGCCCAACAGGGAATCGAGCGGCGACCTTTTGGTGCACGGGACCTGCCTGACCAGCAGCCCCAGCGGCCGCCGGGCTGCGCCTTTCATCGGGGAGCCCTGCGCTCAGTGTGAGGGCATCTCTGAGAGGCTCTCACCCCCTGGGGGCCGGGGGGCATTAGGTGCCGGATCAGTAACCTCACTCACCTCAGAGGCACAGACAGGCAGTTCAGAAACTAGACCCCACGCACTGAACAACCAGGCCCTTCTCCGCCCCCAGACCCGGGGCTACCAGCCGCAGCCCCGACGTGGCCCCGTGAGGCAGCGTGCGGTGCCGGCGCAGGGAGGAGGGAAGGTGGCCTGAGACGCTGGGGCCTCCACACGCCTACCTGGTTTGGGGCGTGTGTTCTGGCCTCTGAGGCTTAGCCGGGACCCCACAGGCTGCCTGCCATTTCGGAGCAGGTCCCTGCACCGTTCCCCGTGGCATCGCCGTGATCCTGGGGGAGACACAGGCAGGAGGGTCGCTGGCCCTGCCTGGGCAGCCCCCTGGGGAGACCCAGATGCCCCAGCTCACACGCCCCAGGCCCAGGCCCCGCCCCTCACCCCACCGCCGCCCCGGGGTTCACCTGGGCGGGAGGGGTGCCCCGGGGTCCACACGGAGCCTGGTGTCCCGCTGTCCCTGCCGGGAACGTTGGGGGGGGGCGGGCATGTCCCCGCTCAGAGCAGGGGTGTCAGCCCGCGGCGCCCTGGAGGGCAGGGCTAGGAGGTCACGTTGGTTCCGGCGGGAAGCCTGCGGGTCAGGCCCGACTGACACCTGCCGCTCGGTCGGCCGGTGGCCCCGGGGAGGGTCCCAGGGATTCAGACGTGGATTTAGTCCGACGGTCAGTTCTCGGCTGAGTGGAACGTGGACTTTCTCGCTAAGTCCAGTCCCGAGTCCCGGGTTTTCAGTGTCTCCTCTTCCCTCCGGAGAAGCCGTGATTTGCAGGTGAACATCGTGCTTCCTGCTGCTCAGGTTCCCCGAGTTGCGTCAGGGGCTGGTCGGCCCCCAGCACCCTGGGAACCCCTGGGATGTGCCCCATCCTCCCGGCCCATCCGACCGTGGTGGCCGTGCAGGGGTGGCGGGTCCTTGCACACGTGGCCCCGACGAGCCCGGCGCTGCCCGGGGGCGGGAACCTCCCCGTCCGTCCGGCCTTCTCAGGGGGGAGGGTTTGGCGATGTCGGAGGTGTGGCTGCCAGACTGCTGAGCGTTCTCTCCTCTCTTCCAGCCTGCAAGTCCTCCGCCCTCAGGCGATGTGAAGCCCAGGTAAGCCCCCTCCCCGGCCTTCCCCCCCCCCCCCCCCCCCCCCGGGCCCTTCCTCCTCGGCTCCCACCAGCGAGATGCCTGGGAGGGGCCAGGCAGGAAGGAACCAGCGCAGCTGCCGGTGCTCCCAGAGGCGGATACGTTTCCCTCGAGGCTTCACGGGGCCACGGCCTCGCCTCGGGCTGAGCTACAGGAAACGGCGCTCAAGCACCTGGGGTCAGAGGAGAGCTGCCTCTGTCCTGGCCACCTCACGCCCTTCTCCCAGCTCACACTGCCTCGGGGCAGAGGGCGGGCCCGGTCACGGCCTGGCCTGGAGGAGTTGCCGGGGAGTTGTGTAGATTGGTTGGGGGTGAGGCTGTCGTGGGAGTGGGGACCCTGAGCTGGGGGAGTGGCCTTGCCTCTGCGTGTTCCGTGGAGTCAGTGCTGGACCCGTGGGAAGCCGGGGAGGCGGGAGCTTGGGAGGGTTGAGGGACCCGGTTAGTGGGGAGCTGCTGGCTCCCTGGACAGGCCCGGTTTTCACCCAGTCACCGGGTGCGCACCCCCACATTCTCTGCACACGTGACCCGCAGCGGGGCCGCCTTTGTGGCCCATCAGATGTCCGTGGGCGGCCGTTCTGGGTCCAGGGAGCTGTGGACCTCGTGGGCCAGTGTCTTGAGATCCCACCTGGTCCTCCCGACTGGGAAGGACACGTGTGGAGGCGGCTTCGTGCCGTGAACTGGCTTCCCAGGGTGCATTGTGCATGGTGGACCTGGGACCTGGTTTTCCCCGCCCTCCCCGCCACACACACACACACCCCCACACACACACGGATATGTGTAGGCACATACAGTTCACACCCACGTGCACACTCACACATGCACACAGTCGCAGACAGGCACACAGGTGTACCAACCCACGCAATGTATACTCATGCATGCACTTGCACACACACAGATGAATACATGCAGACACAGTTCACACACACATGCTCAGGCAAGCACAGACAATGCACACACATGTGTCAGGCGCACACACTCACAGGCACAAAGGTAGAAGAACTGCAGGCGAGGCCAGCCCTGTGTTCTTTCAGGGAAGAGAGCGAGTGACTTTTCTTTCTAAGCTGCGCTGTGGAGAATTGGGGACCATGGCGGCCGAGAATAGTGCAGACCTCTGCTGTGAGGGCACCGCCCCGGCCACACCCCCCGCCCTCTCCACGCCGCCCGCCCTCTCCACACTGCCCGCCCTCTCCTGAGATGTCCTACGACTTGCGTGTGGAGCTGTGTGGTGCACGGGCGTCTGGTCTCACTTCGGGTCTCGCTCTGGGAGGGCTGGCCTCTCCGCGGAGGCCAGGAGGCTCCTGCTCGCACACTCGTGGGCAGGACTGGTGTCCGACGGCCTGGTGTGGCCTGTGCCCTCACGGACGCCTCTGTGAAGTGTGCTCTGCACCTGTACCCTGAGGCTGTGGGAGCAAAGGTCCCATGTGCGGTGGGCGTGGGGTCGGTGCCACCTGGGGAAATGCCGCGGGTTTCAGCGAGGGTCCCTCAGCCTCTGTGAGGGTTTAAATGAGCCCCCGACCCCTGAGGGTCCCCTTCAGAGGGAGCCTCGTCCAGCACAGCTTGTGACTGACTCATCACCATGGTGGGGGGCCGAGGGGAGCCACGCAGGGATGCTGTCTGTCCTGTGTCATTCCTGCATGTGTGTGGGTGTGCATGCATGAGCGAGTATGTGCGTGCACATGCCAGTGCATGCATGATGCACACGTGTGCATATTGTGAGTGTGTATGTGAGTCTGCATGACCGTGCACATTTGTAACGTGCATGTGCAAGGGTGTACATGTGCGAGTGCATGTATGGGTGTGCATGTGTGAGTGTGTGACTGGATGTGTGTGAGTGTGCATGTGTGGGTATACATGCGTGAGTGCATGCCAGTGCATGTGTGGGTGTGCATGTGGGTGTACACGTGTGAGTGCATGGCAGTGCATGTGTGGGTGTGCATGTGTGAGTGTGTGGCTGTGGATGTGTGTGTGTGTGCATGTGTGAGTGTGTGACTGTGGATGTGTGTGTGTGCATGTGTGGGTGTACACGTGTGAGTGCATGGCAGTGCATGTGTGGGTGTGCATGTGTGAGTGTGTGGCTGTGGATGTGTGTGTGTGTGCATGTGTGAGTGTGTGACTGTGGATGTGTGTGTATGCATGTGTGGGTGTACACGTGTGAGTGCATGGCAGTGCATGTGTGGGTGTGCATGTGTGAGTGTGTGGGTGTGGATGTGTGTGTGTGCATGTGTGTGTGTGCATGTGTGGGTGTGCATGTGTGAGTGTGTGGCTGTGGATGTGTGTGTGCATGTGTGGGTGTGCATGTGTGAGTGCATGGCAGTGCATGTGTGTGTGCGTGTGTGTGTGTGTGTGGGGGGGGTGTGCATGTGTGAGTGCGTGGCAGTGCGTGTGTGGGGGGGGTGTGGGTGTGTGTGTGCATGTGTGGGTGTGGGTGTGGGTGTGTGTGTGTGCATGTGTGGGTGTGGGTGTGGGTGTGTGTGTGCATGTGTGGGTGTGGGTGTGGGTATGCATGTGTGTGTGTGTGTGGGTGTGTGTGTGCATGTGTGGGTGTGGGTGTGCGTGTGGGTGTGTGTGTGCATGTGTGGGTGTGCATGTGTGGGTGTGGGTGTGGGTGTATAGCCGTGATGGTGTTGCTGCCCGGCCGCCCTGACCTGTGGCCGCGGACCCGAGCCCACTGCTGGTGGCTCCATTTCTCAAAGGCGGCCCAGCCAACCACTTAGGGGATTGAATTCTTTGATTCGAAGAATGTTCCAGAAGTCTTAGCTATCACTGATTGTGCCGTTTGTAGCTGCAGGAGTTGGCAGTTGGCTGGGAGGCAGATAAGCTTTCGCTTGTATTAGACGGGGGGGCAGGGGGGGGCCGTATTCATTTCGCTGAGAATGCAGTTTCCATGCGGGAGAGAACGCACCACGCTGACAAAGCCCCTCTCATTCCCAAGCCCCGACGTGCCCCGGGGAACAGAGGCCCATAGGCGCTCAGCCGCCCCTGGAGCCGGCAGACGCAGCTGGTCCCCGGGCCCCGCGACGAGGCTGCCCCGCAGCTGGGTCCTGGGCGCCGCCTGTGCAGGCCTGACGCAGGCTCGTCGTCTCGGGGGACGAGGGGCTGCGGGTGAGCGCAGGCCCCGGCTCCGCGTGGATGGGGTCTGGCCTGAGTGGGTCTCGGGGGACGGAGGGGCTTCGGGTGAGCGCAGGCCCCGGCTCCGCGTGGATGGGGTCTGGCCCGAGTGGCGACAGGACCTGGGTCTCAGCTCCTCCCTCTGAGCAGGGTGACAGCACTGCCCGTGGGGTCTCCAACAGGCTCTTCCTGAGTCACCAGGTGGTGTCCTTCCTCCGTCCTCTGCCAGGCAGGGGCAGGAAGCTCCGGGCGGTGCTGGGGGCGCTCTAGCTCTGGCCAGGCCACGCCTGTGCTGTCGTCCCCCCACTGTCCCCCAGCCCCCTGCAGGCGGGAGGCCTTGCTGTGGTGGGGGCCTCTGCAGCCCCTCCTTGGGGCAAGGGCCTGGACCCACGCCCGCCAACCCCCAGACACCCTCTGCCTCATGGCCGCCCCGGGTCAGAGGGCCACACCGCGGTCCGGGCATGACTGTGCCCGCCCCTCCTGGTGACTGGGTGTGGCCGGGAGTGCCTCCCAGGCCTGTGGTGGCCCCATCTCCCCTCCTGAGACGCTCTGTGGCCGCGGGCAGGTCCTGGTGCCATTTCGGGGTGCCTGCCTCTAAGGCTGCGCTGCACGTCCCACACCCACCCCTCCCCCCGCTCATGGGGAGCCAGTTAGCTGAGCGCCTCGCCCGCCTCGGGGTCCGTGTGCGAGGGGGGCTCCGCCTGCGCCCGGCTCTGCTCTCAGGGGCGCGGCTGCCTCTGAGCAGGAACTTAGGGCCTGCACCCCGGGCCCCGAGGACCCGCCGCTGGCCTGCGTGGGCTTGGTCCCCACGGGCCCTGGCAGACCCGGGACGGGGCCTCCGACCCCAGGACTCTGACCAGAGACGGGCCTTTGAAGAGGCAGCACGAGGTGACGGGGCGGATCTGCGGTGACGCGTGTCCTCGGGAGCGAGGAGGACGCAGGCCCACCCGGAGGGGCGGCCAGGTGAGGGCGCGGCAGGCAGCGTCCACACACCCAGAGGGGCCTGGGGGAGCCGCCCTGGGCCGCCTGGCCCGGCGCAGCCTGCGGGGCGGGGGCGTGAACGCCCGCTGCTCAAGCCCGTCAGGGGCTCGTCCGGCGGCTGCACTAAGGTCGGTGTGAGCCCGTCTGTGGCTGTCGCGGCTGCGTGTGGACACGCGCACAAGGGTGAGGGCTCAGCCTCGGCCGCCGTGCACGTGTCCGTGGGGTTCCGGGGCGCTCGTCCACGCAACCCACACGATGGCGGGCGTGGCGCCAGCTGCACGCGGCTTCTAGAGGAACTGGTGGGAAGGCGTGGGTCGTCGCCCACAGGAGGGTTTACTGTGAAACGGCAGCCACGGAGCTGGGTCTGTGGTTCAGGGTCCAGTCGACCCCGTAACCACGGGTTCACTCTCTGAGGTTGCAGTCGTCCACAGTCAACCGCACGCCCCACACGCACTCTCATCACCCAAACCGTGTAAACACAGATGTGGTCATGTGGACACACAGCCACATACTCCCTTTCCCGGGCACAATGGCCCCAGGTGCAAGGCCCCTCTGTCCTGTCCACCTGTCCGCCTGTCCACCTGTTTACTGGACCATCTGTCCACCTGTCCACTGGACCATCTGTCTGCCTGCCCACCTGGCCATCTATCCGCCTGGCCACCTGTCCGCCTGTCCCCTTGTCCACCTGTCCCCCTGGCCACCTGCTGCTGTGGGACAGGCTGCTGATACCAGCGGCGGCAGGTGCCACGTCGGCAGGTGTGGCTGGGTGCAGCCTATTTGTTTATGGTTGCCCTTGGTAACAGTGACGGGGCCCCACATGGAGCCACAAGAAGGCCATAAAGTGACTCGGACCAGGCCTCTGGGGCCTCAGGCCTC